TTATGGAATTGACGAAGGCAAATGGCTGCCTGCCATTTTAACGTGTTCTTTCACCTGAACAAACTCGATTGGCTATACGTTTCTTCCCTCCCCGGAAATGAGTCGAATACTGAGAATATCATAATTTAAGAAGCTACACAATCTAAGCGGCTTGCACCACTTTGCTTTGTGGACCTTTTTGCGTGGAACTGATTTTGTCGCCTAACGACAGTGCCATGCCTTGGCTCTTCGCTCTGATACGAATGTGACCGACCACCGGGGCGTCTGGTTTGTTCAATGGTTTCTCGATGGACATGTTCGCCAATGCATCTTCGCCGAATATCGATTTCGCGTACATATTAGCCGCCATGAAACCACATTGTCCAGAAAGGGCCTGAAAATATATCTTTTCTCCAATTTTTCGAAATTCGAACGTGGAAGTGTGGAATTGATTAAAAATTTCTCAAATACAATACCTTTTCTGGAGTAAGACAACGCATGTTTGTAGATTTCAATAAATGAGCGAGATACTCTCTCAAGTCTGATAACGTCGTATTTACGGACACTTTATTTTCCCATTCGAACTCTGCCCACATTTGTCTGAATTCTAGATCGGTACACGTTGCCGGCACTATGTAATCCATAATGTCGATATGTATGTCGTTCAATACTACTACGCTTCTATCAGATCCTGCTCCAGACACGTCATATACTGAAAATTAATCAATTTGTATTTTTTTTTCTTATCCTTAATGATCAGAGTAGTAGTATAAATCTTTTATTAATTACCTATGTTTCCAAATATTATTCCATTTTCTGTAGACGCCACTTTTACGTTTGCCTTGATGCTTGCGAAGTCTCGAGGAGCAAGCACAATGGGCTGTGGTCTTTCTACAAGTTTCAAATCACCCATTGTAGCAAGCTCCAACGTACAATTCTGCAGTGTGTCTTCGGTTTGATTAACGATCAATACATCGAGTACAATATCGTACTGATTAACGTGAACGAGAGCCTCTGCGTAGACAGGATCTGAGAAGCCAGTTAATTGGGTGACCTTGCTCAAAGCACTGGGAGCTGGCGCGTCTCCACTAGCACCGGGTCTTCCAGCGACAGCAGCACTCAAACTTTGTTCGAATACGTCGCCAGCTCCACCCGTTAGGTCTGAACCACGGCTCAGTTGTAAGAACTGTATCGCGTCGTCTACTTGAACAACACTACCTGGTTTTTCCTTCGCCTGTACGAGGAGGATTGAAGAATTGAGATCAAAATTCCATAAGAATTAAAAAATAAACTGAATTAGATAGATTTGAAAACCAACCTTTTGATTTTGTGAATCTTCTTCAGCTTTCGCTGCAAGCATTCTGCCAAGAGCATCGCGACATCCCTCGGTGAAAACTTTTTGCACGAGCGATGTCGGACAAGCCAGTGATCTCAAGCATAGTGACAGGCGTTCAGCATCATCGTGCGTTATTGCTTTAGCAGGGAGACCTGAACGACCCAACTGCATTACGCTAGACATCACCAACATTGCTTCAGCCTGCATGCGATTGCTCTTTTGTGCATCTATTTCGAGGCCCTTGTAACGAAGTGCTAATTTAGCCAAGGTTGTAGCTAGAGAAGCACCTATGAAGAAGTCACCTTCCATCATATACTGAACCAGTGCTGGACGCTTCTCTTCTTTCTTTCCTATAAATTAGAGAAATGACTGCTACACAATACTGCTACACACTCAGTTTGAAATTGGCAGGTAATTCGCTTATTTGCGTAATTGGTCGAAAATAATTACGTGAGGATGTTGCGCTAAATGCACTCTGAGTAGCATATGTGCCATCTGATGTGACCAGCTGTGCCGGTGTAACTTGTGCGCTTCCATCTTCTAACGATTTCTCGCCAGCTTGTCGTTTGTTCTCCGCTTCCAACAATGGTAGTTCTCCTAAAGCAGCCCGGATACGACTCATTACAGCTTCTATATCTTCTTTCGACGTTGCATATTCGCCGAGAATCCACAAGGCTGCTCTGTGTACCCTTACCGATCTAATGTGTGGAAATACCTATGTAGAAAATTCGCGATTAAATCAATTTGTTGAAATATGAAAACGAACGTCAATTTTTTTTTTTATTTTTATTCTTTTGATACGTACCTCGAGAAGTTTTTCAACAATCAGTGGTCTAAGATTTTCAAATCGTTGGATAGCTTCGCGAACAAACACCAGAACGTCAGTGGCTGCGGCCTCGTTATTTTCAGACAAGAAATCTGTTAGTACTGGAATCACTGTAGCTGCCACGTCCGAGAATTTGATGGAGCAGGCATGCAGCGTTCTAACTAGTAGTTGTCGATATCGACCAGCATCTTCGTGTTCCCCGCCAGCTGTTCTAAGCACTTCCTTCTTCAATAATTGAACCATTTCCTCGATCGTACGGGTTGTTACCAAATCCATCGCTAGAGCTAACGTTTTTGTTCTAACTTCCAATGCTGGAGAGCCTAAAATATGAATCGAAATCTTAAGCAATGTTCTACATTATTCGTTTGGTATTTTCATGTATTGCCGGAAGGTAGGTAGATACCTAAAACTCTAAGTACGTCCATCACTAGATCTTGGAGGACCCGTTCATAAACAGGACTGTCCTTCATTGCGATCAAGCGATCCAGCACAATCAATTTAACGTTATTATCACTTTCTTTAACAACTAATTCAATGTAGCAGGAAGCTGCAGCTTTGATCGCTGTGGGAGCACTGGAAAGCGTGACTAAAGTACCAGCTGCTTCGTAACGTACAGCAGCACTTGGTGAATTCAACAAACTATAGATGCATCTGATAAAACGAGCTCTCTCTGATGGATTTGCGAGACAAACCTGTAAAAATACATACTTGTTAATACTTGAGATTTTTCACCACTAACAATGGACATTTGTATGACACTAATCGAAATAGTCTACGAGTTGAAAACTTGTTTATTGAATATATGCACCTTGTAAATTAATTCTACGATAACCAATTGCAATATATCGCCAAAGCTGGGCACTTGATCCAAGCAAGCTGCTAAATAAGCAAGTGCCCTGCTCTGATCAGCGTGTAACAACATCAGGAATGCATTCCTTCTGCAAGACATATCCTGTTCTCCTTCCAAATATTTTGCTATTAATTCTGGGGCATCTGGTATAAGAAATTCAAAGTTTCTGTAAATAGTGAAAATAGCTAGAACCGCATTGCGTCTAACATAAGAGTGTCTATGCTCTAAACATGCAATTATCGCAGGCATCAAAGGCTCCAAGAGTTCTGGTTCCTTCAATTTGCACAGGAATCTGGAACCAAGAAAAGAGATACACTTTTAAACTCATCCTACTTTAAACTCGTTAAAGTCATTGACTGTTGCGTCAATACCTTAGAGTCGATCCTCTAACAAATTCGTTTGGATGCTGTAAATCCTTTCTATAAGCATCGCAAACTAGGATCATCTCCTGAAGCAATTTTCCATCAGGAGAAGTTTTCGGCACAATCTCCCAGAATATCAAAAGCAGCTTCTTAATAGTGTGATCTTGCAGCGGCAGAACGAATCTAATGATGGTCATTAAAAGTCCTGGCAGGCGTTCTCCGCTGAGAATCATGTGAATGGTTTTCTTGAGAGCTTCGATCTTCGTCTGAACATCGCCTTTCTCTAGATCTTGCTTCAACTGGAGCTCGTTCAATGGCTCCGTATCGGTTGGAACGTTTATCAAAGTGTAACAAGGTTGTTCGGCAATAGTGCTCATTTTTGCAGTTGTCTCACGCTGTGTCAGGAGAATTACTTTTTTCTACAACCTGCAAATTGAAACAGCCGCTGTTATAATTTTCGACTAAGTGTTGGGGATTGACACGACCGATGGATGTTGTTCGAAAAATACAACGAAAGTGAGGTTAGGTTGCCCTCCACTCTGCGTTCACTTTGCCACACTGGACACGGCGCTACGAATTGCATTTATCAAGCTCGACGTACCTGATCACAAGAAAGCCATGCGACGAAAAAGCCAGCGATATGTTTCAATTGGCCAACTGACATTTATACGAATCCAGAAACAAAGAGAAAAGCATACGTGTCAAACCCCTGCAACACGGGGACTATCCGGACTAGGAATAGGTAGCGCCACGATCCACATTTTCGCCACGTAGATCGCGAATTTTTGAATTCGTCGTTTCCTTCTTTTCGTAAAATATTCCTCACGCGCTGCGTTTTTACAAATGTAGGAGTTGCCGTTTTTCTTTCTTGCTTCATTCTATGAGACTTTAATTTTAAAACAGCAGAGAATTGTTTTTTAATGTGAAACGCGTGAAAATATGTTGTCACAAAGGTGTGGATAAATCGCGCCGTAAAGAATGTTCGCGAGATTGAGCTTTTTATTCTTTCAAAGAAGCGATTAAATGTCGTTGATCGTGAAAAAATATTTACGTATACTGCCTTTTTGTATTGTAGCTGGTAAGACTATAATTTTAAATGGGATGATAAAATGTTTCGAATTTTCCAAAAATTTCAGACATGCTTGGAAATTTATCATCTAGGTTCGCGCCAATAGTCGAGATATCACTGAGAAATCTAGTAAATAAATATTAAAACAATAATAACAATAATAAATTACACAACTAAATAATAAATAACAAGTAAATAAATATTAAAACAATAATAACACAATGTGTTTATTAGTTTTTCTGAAACTGCATAATCAGCAGAACTGATCAAATTGAAAAAAAAAAAAAGAACACGCACTCACTTGCGTACTTGCTTGAATATTTGCGAATAATTTGCAATTCGCATTATTTCCGCAAGCGATTTCGCAACGAAAGTGACAAGAGAAAGCGATAAACAAAACGGGTGTTTATCGAATAAAGCGTTTAACCTGTTGATGCGTAACCACGTGCGAGATATACTGTTACTAAATACTATTAATTTATTTTCTTCAAAGATAAATCATCCCGATTAGCGAGCCGCTTCAAGTGGAACACTACTGACCTAGAAAACAAACTGAGCTAAATAGATTGCAACTGCGTTCAAAGAAGCGAAGCAACTCGTTCGCGAAGAATCGTCTGAACAATTAAACAATAAATCTAAACAACACTTGGCTGCCAAAAAGGTAAACGTAAAACTAGCACAATAATTTTGAGAATTTAAATCTGTAACAAAAATTTATTATCGTTTCGCGTTATGGAAGTACTTATACCTTGTAAGATGTAGTGGAAACTTCCTCCATCGAAGGAAGGAATCGTACAATTGCGATTATCAATCATTCAAAACATTCAACAATGTTACTATTCGAGGAATCGCAAGCATTTTTCGTTGACGCAGAACGATCATCGATAATCTCTCTGACGTATTACTATACACGTAACGAGTGGTTAGATTCTCATAATTGCGCATTTTTCTCTTTGAGTAATAAACTGCAACTGCGGAGCAGCGTGGTGCACGCACGTGTGTCTTTATCTTTCCCATTTAATACACAAATCATTTTACTCTCGGTTATTTAAACGGGGGACGTTATCTTTGGGAAATAAATTTTGAGAAGATTTCAAAGGAGCCACAAAATTGAACAAATAATCACGTTCAGTCACGTTTCACGTAACAACATCCATGTACATATATATAGACGAATGTAAAAGTTTAGCTTCACTTTACGCAAGCCATGCTCGCATAACGCAAGTACAGAGGCACTAGCCTCCAGACCAGTAAAAAAAGGCAATGAGATCTCGTTAAATCACGAATAGCGAAATTGCCTTTGGCGTGGTGGTTGACAATATTTCCGAGATTCCAGCGACGATGATGCGTCAGCTTTTATGGCGTCAGACGAAATTAACGGCTAGATCGCGCGCGTCGACTAATTGCAAGCGTCTCGACGCGACGCCGGAGCCGATGTCTTCAATTGCTTCCCCGAACTCTCTCTCTCTTTCTCTCTCTCTCTCTCTCTCTCTCTCTTGCCTACTTTTTTCGATTAACTCCTCTATTGCATCGGGCGTTGCACGCACAAAGGGGGTCAGACACGCGTTTAACTCGTTCTGACCATCTTCTCGCCGCGATCGACACCGTCTCTTTTTATCTCTCTCTCTCTCTCTCTCTTTCTCTCTCTCTCTTTCTCTCTCTCTCTTTCTCTCTTCGACGTAATTTCACGAGGTTCCAAACGATCGTCGTTATTGTTCCGTGGAGTTTCGCGTATTGTCGGCGTCCCCTTTGTTGTTTCGATCGTTTCAATTACTTTCTGCAGCTCTTACCGCGGTTATTACCGCTGGCAATTTCCAACGTAATTCTGACAAATTGCAAGGACGTTGCGTCGTAAACGTTAAATTCATCCTTACCTGTATTAATCCTTCCCACTCGTCGACATCAGTTTTTTTTACTCTTGCGTTGAGTCGATATTTAAAAAAGAAAAAAAAAGAAAGAAAGAAATATTGAAAAATAGTTTGGAGTACATACAAATTCATCCTGTATATTTATAGTCATTTGCTACCATTTGCTACCTGCCATCTCTATTATCCCTGTCACAACCAATCCTTTATTAGCGACCGTTCTAATTAACCGATCGTATATCGAACATTAACATCCTCCGTTTCGAGGAATGCGTTGATTCAGCTCGTGTCGTCGACAACCTCGAATAGCGTTCACAATTATTGCAACACGTAACAAATACCTGCCACTGACCTCGACGATGAAACAGTGGATCAAAGACGCGTGGAATTGCCAACTACCGGGTAAAACAATCGCGATTGCAAGATCGGCCCGGCGACACGTTCGCGCGGATAATTGCCGCGTTAAAAATACGAAGGAGCCGTACTCGAAGCGTCGAGTGGTCAAAGGAGGACGAGTCGACGATCTCGCGCGGGAAAACGACTCGTTTTAGGGAAAAAGAACAACTTTGGCCGGGTTCGTTATTGTTCATTATCGAAACTTTGCAGATATGACTGGTGTGCGAGTCGCGTTGTTCGCGGCGACCGTGACGTTGCTCGCGATCGTCGATACCTCGATCGCCCAGTCGACCAGGCAATCTCTCCAGTGCAAAAACATTGCCAGAGACGTGATCATCAACAGCTGCAAGGGGCCAAGGATGAAACGATCCCCGGAGAGTCCGAGTCTCGCGAGGTTGAACCAGGAGGCGCCAATAGCGGTGAAGACAGGTCGGTGCTTCCGATTGGCGTTAAGGGGACAGGACAGTTTGACGGACGTAAAATTACAAATACTTTGGAGGGCTGGTAAAACAAAAGATATACATATTTGATTGACACGAGCTTTTGTGGTCTTATTTCAACACATTACGAATTATAAAAAGCGACATTAAAAAAGAGAAAAAAAGAGGGCTCTTATTTAACTTTTTAACGACATCCTTTTACGTGACTTTTTTTTACATTGCCTATCGGTGTGCATGATTCCAGCCAAACAGGATTAGCTGCAACAAAAGGGCAAAAAAAATTCGAAAAAAAAAACAATATTCTCTGACGATCCAACATTTTAATTTTTGTGAAATTATGAAAATAGCTGTTTGTTTTTGATGTGTCGAATTTGTGCCAAAAATTTCTACGTTTTTTTGTTTATACTTTTCGAAATTGTTAAAAATTAAAAAATGTTCGATCGTCGATCCCTTTAGTGTTACACTAAAGATACGTACCAAGTTTCACGGTAATCGGTTCGTTAGAATCCGAGATGTCTCGCACACCGTTTCTAAAAACCTAGTTTCGAGAAAAACGCGTTGAAAGTTTCAGAACGTCATTTTTCATACGTATCCTTTACTTACTTTTTTTACTTATACATCGCGGCTCACAGTTCTTACAATTCACAACTAAATTGAATCCAAGTCTCTCAATATTTGATTCGCCAAAAGTAACATTTGAATCACACGATTTACACTTTATGATACTGCTTAAACAGCGATACAAATTCAATTATTCTGTATTCCACGGATTTATTATTATAACCCCAGTTATGATTATATTATATATTATATTATTATAATATATAATATATAATAAAATATTATATATATTATATATTATAACCCCAGTTATTATTATATTATATATTATATATTATATATATTATATATATTATAACCCCATTTATTATCTACCCCAGAATAAGTCGTTTTAAAGGACATTTTGTATCTTATTTCTAAGACTTAAAACACAAACAAAAGAAGAATCGATCTTTTGAAAATTTCAAACTGTCCTCACCTCTTAATACCAAATTTATATTTATATTTGTGACAATCAAATTCGCGATGGTAACTCTGTAGTTGACACTACATCATTATTCTATTTGAGCAACTTGTCCGATATTTTGCCGAGTCGGTTACTTGATATTTATTAATTGACAGTCGATATTTATTCAATAGAGTTTGACTAAATAATTAAAAATATTGATTCATCTTGCAGAGGCTGCCGAAGCAAGAGACGACGACGAACCGCGTCTAACGCAAAGTAAACGTAATTTCTTTCCTCCCCTTTACGGTATGCCACCAATACCGATGTTTGGCGGCAATTACGCGTCGAACAATTATCACCAAACGGATCTCTCTCTGCCTGGACTCGGATTCATGGACACTGGTTACGCCAACACGATGGAAGAAAGCTACTTGCCGCCGAATCCATTTGGTTATCAGCCAGGATATATGATAAGATCCGTTGTAAGTCCTCGATGGCAAAGTTATGACTGACGATGATTCGGGATGTTAACGGGAAGAAGATCTAAAATACGAATTCCAATTCGATCGTGGCGAACTTTAACTTGAACTGTGATAAAGAAAACAAATAAGGGGATCGTGTAAAATTCGAAGTCGAAGTTATATTGTCATTGGAACACGTAGGACAAATTGAGAAATTATTATACGAATGAGATTTAACGTGTTCGAGAGTAGCGTGGGAATTTTTGAATTTATCCTCGAACGTTTTTTTTAAAATTTCATTAACAAACACTTAAGAGTAGTGTTCGCAGACAAGAAAAATGTTGTCAACGATGAAAGTTAATGTAGCATTTATAGTAAAGGCAATAAATCTCGTTATCTCCATTTGTGTTGTTTATTATTGTGTATTATGAATGTTTCGAATATTCTCATTTTACTTTTACGGTCTTTAATTTGTCTTTTAATTTTGATACGTTACAGTATGGATGTAATTTTACAGTAATTTAATTTGGTGATTTCGCAGAATCCAAACGATCTTCTTGGCTTCAGTCTAAGCGCTGACGAACTGGAAGAACTATACCACGAGATCGGTGACAGAATGCCACGAAATTCGAAGAATCTGAACAAGAAGATTTTCCAACACGTCGCCATGAAATGCTGCCCAAACGCGCAATTATGCTACGACAATCCACGGATAATTCCTTGCATGGGCTTGCCATTCTGAAAAATCCGACAGGTGATCGTTACGCAGTAGATTGTACTTAAACTCTCGGATGTGTAGAGATACTATTGAGAAACAGAATAAAGTGTCAGCCAAGTGCTGTTCGAGCTTGTCCAAAAGATCTCGCCAGCTTTATCTCAAAATCACTCCTCTCCCTGCAAGATACGACAATGTTTCTCTCGTACATTTACACTATCAAAGTGGATCTCGAAACGAAAGAACGCTTGCGGCTTACAAACAATTGCTTTATTTGCAGAAAATTAATACATCACCAACACGACTAATACAACGTTCGATCTATCTTCTAAATTTCACGATATATATATTTATACACACGAAAAAAAAAAAAAAAAAAAAGAAGGACGACGAATGATTCGGCGAGTCCTCGACGATGAATTCTCTGTTGTGTTCTCGAGACAGGTTTCGCTTCGCGTATCGTTCGAAAGTACACTCGCACGGAGAATCGTTAGAGAAGAACGATGCCTCGTAGTGGGTTTGCTACTATCATCCAATTTACAAGCGAACCGTGTGCAGTGGTTAATGGCTGTCGGAATAATGGGCAACGTGCAGGTAGTGATGGGATCGAGACGAACGCACAACGTATTAAACGCGCTCTTCTTCTTTCCTCCTTGTTTCTCTCGTTCCTTTTCTTCCTTTTTTTCGTTTTCTTTTCCTTTTTCATTTCGTTTCTACTTCGTCGGATCTCGACTCGTCGGGGATTGTGTTTCTAGAGCTGTAAAATGCTCCTCGGAGAGCATTCACTAATAATAACACGTTAATAACAATTTCGTTTTGTTCGTTGAGGGCTTATGGTTTTATGGGGAAGGGACAGTGAGCGTGTCTTTTGAAGATTCGTTTGGAAATCTTCCAACTCCGAGTGAACTTTCTCCTCGTTAAATTCTTAATATTCAACGTCTTTTGACTAATATTAAATTCTTCAACGAGCTGTATAAATTTTCTTTTTTTTAATAAATCGTATTTCTCGAACAATGAAGATTCTTTGAAACGTTTCTGGAAATCTTTCAACTCCGAGTGAACATTCTTCTCGTTAAATTCTTAATATTCAACGTCTTTGGCTAATATTAAATTCTTCAACGAGCTGTATAAATTTTCTTTTTTTTAATAAATCGTATTTCTCGAACAATGAAGATTCTTTGAAACGTTTCTGGAAATCTTCCATTCTTCTCGTTAAATTTTTAATATTTAATGTCTTTGACTAATATTAAATTCTTCAACGAGCTGTATAAATTTTCTTTTTTTTTTTAATGAATCGTATTTCTCGAACGATGAAGATTCTTTGAAGCGTTTCTGGAAATCTTCCATTCTTCTCGTTAAATTTTTAATATTTAATGTCTTTGACTAATATTAAATTCTTCAACGAGCTGTATAAATTTTCTTTTTTTTTAATAAATCATATTTCTCGAACGATGAAGATTCTTTGAAGCGTTTCTGGAAATCTTCCATTCTTCTCGTTTTTAAATTTTTAATATTCAACGTCTTTGACTAATATCAAATTCCTCAACGAATTGCATAAATTTTCATTTCTTGATAAATCGTATTTCTCGAACTCTAGGTTTGTAGAGAAAAGAAAGAAAAAAAAAAAAAAAAAAAGAAAAGTAAGAATCCTCAACTACGAGCGCGCTAACGAGAGCGATTTCTAATTTTAAAAGAAGCACGTGCGCGCCAAGCGAAGTGCCACGAGTTGCCGGTCACGAGATCGCCCAATAAAGACTGAATTCTCGCGGATCTTTCTACTGATCAGAAAGACGAGGCGGCCGCGTTCGTTGACGAGGCGTGTTCGACACGTTGGCATCAACGTGATCCGTTAATGGCTCAATCTGCTGGAAGTAGCGCCAAAATCTATTCTCGGAAACAACGATCCTTCGGTCGCAAGAGGAAAGAAACGTTTGACGAACGACAACTGTCCAAGAATTTCTCTGCTTCTTTTCTGTTTCATCATATTTCCGAAGCTTTTGAATGAATAGTCGAATTAAAAGCGAGTGAAAAAATTGCAAAGAGTAATGGAGAAAGGATCGTACAAAGGTTTCGGTTTCAGCGTTCGTATATTTCCCTGCAAACTCTGCCGGATTCGATCATCTCTCGGCGTAATTCTCAAGAGAAATCGACCCCGTCGCTATCCGCGAGCCGAATTACGCAAGAGCTCGCCACGTGTCGCTATGTCATCGACGACAGAGGCACGCGTATAATATGAACGTATGATTATTTATTTATTATTTATTCGATTATCGACGGGCAAATCGTCTGCGGTTATCCGCAGGGGCGAATACCCGTGGCGAATCGTGGTGATTCGAGTCGTTAGCAGCGTAAACAGTCGTCAAAAATATATAATTGAACACGAATGACGAAGAAATGGGAAACGTATGTACAGAAATGCGCTCGCGAGACATGAATACTTGGTGGAAGAAGTACAGTGAATTACGTGTGTTATCATATATACCAGTCACGTGTGCTCTGATGCATTTTCCTTGGCTTATCAGTTAACCGTTAGACGATATACTAAACCTAAACGCGACACACATAACATTTGCAAAAATGTATATACATATATATATATATATAAACGTGTATATCTTATAATAATAATTACCGGTAATTCTACCCTTCTCTACGCAGCGATAGAAATATAAATAATTATTACTGTAAAATCATATAGTTGCGTGCGTTTCGATGCTATACTTCTTTCGATACTTATCCTAAGCTTGCGTTACCTTACGTTCTAAAGCAGCAGGCTCGAGCGTTTCGGGGTTCGAGGATTCGAATTAAATAAATTAACTAATACAGCTGAAAGTTAAGGGCGTGTAACACACATCTGGCGGTCCCCGAGTTTTTATGCCGCCGCTCGAGCGTGCCTCGTGTATCTCACTATTATAACACGGAGGCAAAATTGAACGGTGTTGGTTTACCAAAGTACAGAACCTTTTTTCCTCCCTCCGTTCAAAGTTATTGCTCGCGACTGATATTTCGTCAGCGAGAGAAAGAAAGAAAGAAAGAAAGAAAGAAAAAAAAAGAAGAAGAGAAGAGAAGGCACGTTGAAACCGTTCGATTTTGCCTCGGAATCGTGGACCATTTCTTACGCTTACGATTCCTCATTCAACGTGAAAAGAATCGCGAACTTTCATCTCGACTTTCGTTCTCGCAGAGAAGAAACCCCCGACAGCCTCGCCTTTTTCCATTTCCGCTCTTCACCCGATTGCCCGCCACTTTCCGCCCGTTGCCCTTAGTGACTAGTTCGTTCAGCACTGATTCATATAAAGTGTAGAAGTTTCCTTAGCTCTAATACTAGTGAGATCATTGTTCGACAAGGGATGCGAAAGTGGCCCGGCAATCCGGCCGAAGAAGAACGAAATTGAAAGGAAGAGAAGAAGAGATTGCGAAACGGGTCTCCGATTGGACTTGGTCTCGCGAAAAGAAGAGGGAGAGAGAGAGAAGTAAAATAAAATAAGACGAAACGAAACGAGAAAAAGTCGAGCAGAAAAAACAAATATACATATGTACATATGCACTTATAGCATAAGTCTTGAGATTAGATGTTATTTATAACACTGAGTTTTAAGTCTTTCTTCTAAGGAGATCACGTGCGACTGATGGCCCGGATTTTCTTATATTTCTTACATTTATTTTCTTATATTGCCTCTCCGTTTATTCGGATTCAGTCAGTCAGTCGCGTGTTACTCGTGAGCGTCGATCCTCCGCAGGGCCACGAGCAGTACTTCCAGAGACATCGAGCGTCGTTGCCGAAGCGACGCAAACGGTCCACGTACGAGAAATCCACATTTCTTTCTTCCAATTCTTTTCACCTCTCTTCTTCTTCTTCTTCTTCTTCTTCTTTTTTTCCCCCCTCTGGTTTCTCTGTCTTTTTCCAATTTTTGAAAATTCCAACCTTCTCACGCCGTGGATTCGAAAGTGAGGACGATCGAACGATTGACTCTTAACTCCTCTCTGATCTCTTCTACCTCCGAAACGACAATTTATCACTATTTTACGGGACTAGACATCTTACTCGATTGCACGCTCTCATTCTCGTCCTCTTTCGTATTCAGCGCACCTCGATTTCTTCTCTCGTCCACACTAATTTCATCTCCCTAATACGCTTCGTTTCCTCTTGCATTTCTTCTTCTTCTTCTTCTTCTTCTTCTTCTTCTTCTTTTTTGCTAACTCTCTTTCTTCGTTACGACTGTGAAAAACTCGTGGCCTCTTCGATTATCTCGACGGGTACACGAACGAAGAAGGGAAGAGGTCGAAACACGAGAGAGTTCGATGCCAAGATGGACAGAAAGAGGGAGAGAAAGAGAGAGAGAGAGAGAGCTGCTTCAAAATGGCGCCCTCGCTGGGTTTGCTGGATTTTTCTCTCTGTTTCCACCTCTTTTTCTTTTTTTTTTTTTTTTCTCTCAAAAGCTTCGATGGTTCGTCGAAGAATTAGATGTCTTTGCTCGATGAAGCAAACGTTTTCACCGCTCCGGATGTCCTCTCCAACGTCTGCAAACAGGAAAGGGAAAAGAATTTCTCATCAGTCGCGAGACTCGGCGAATTCTTTCGCGTTTGTCACTCGCGGTCGGTTTGAAAAATTTGGGAGAAAAAGAAGAAGAAAAGAAGAAAAGGAAAGAAAAGAAAAATGAAATTACTCGAAAGTTACTCCGTTGATTAATGTCGTCGATTTATAGTTACGATTTCTTGCATGACACGACGGAGAACAGTAACCAAATCGGAAACAAGCGCTGGTGCAATTAAATCGCCCGATCTAAGCACTTATTCGAGTTCGCTTAAATTCTCTAATAATAATAGCTCGGCGATAACCGTGGAAATTTTATTGTAAAACGGCTGACGCCAGCTCAGAGAATTATACGCTCGTTAAACTTATTTTGGGAAACGCTTATATCAAACTCGTCTGAAAAGTTTCGCTATAAAACGAAGGCTATTGCGACAGAGCTGGTGATCCTGCTGATTAAATTATTATTCGAGGCTAGAAATAGAACTGCATCATTGACGAGGAGAAATTCTGGTAAACGAAATTAGAAACGGACGCGCGTCTTGCGTTACAGACGACATTAGATATATTTTTTTCAGCAGTTTTCAGTAATCTCCTTCGTTTCCATCTCTCTCTCTTTCTCTTCGTAATGCGCTCGAAGAAAGAGAGAGGATATTTAAACGGAACATTCGCTAATATATAGTACATTCCGTAATCTCCTTTCGGAGAGAGTCGGAATTTTATAAATATCGTTGCATCATCTAAACAAGCAAGAGTGAACTTGCATAGGCGATTTCTTGCACGATGATCTTACACATGTGTTGAACAACGCAACGCTGCAACATTCAGATAATTGAAAAACAGTAACTTGTAATGCGACATTCGAACGTCAAGATAATTGAAGAATAGATAATAATAATAATATTGCGAAATATTGAGAAATAGTAGTTTCGCCAGATGATAACGATAATAATGCAATCGTTCCACCATCAAGATAATTCAAAAGGTAGAAGTTTCAATGCAACATTCTCGTGTCAAGATAATTGAAAAAAAAAAAGAAAAAAAAAAATAGCAGTTTCGCTAGAATAAAAATAATAACAATGATGCAAGCATTCTGACAGCAAGACAATTGGAAAGTAGTCTCGCTATGTACCTTGCCAAGACGACGACGCCTCTGGCGTCGATGCCTACAGCCGCAATGGCAGGCGCGATGCTTCCTCGACGAGTTCCTTCCATCGCAGCCGCCTGGGGCGGCGTCGTCCTCACAGTCCGCGCTGTTAACCCCCTTCTTTCGTGTCCCCTTCGACCCGTGGATTTTACACTTGACCGTTCCGTGGACGTGGACGTGGTCGTTGTCCGACCTCGATCTCTCTTCCGACGACGACGAGGCTGCCGACCTCTCGGACAGGTACGGGTATTGTTTTATCCAGACCGGGCTCCTTCTGTGAGAAACACGTTGGAAACAAACCGTGTGACGAACAGTGAGTCTGAGCACCATTACTTCTTTTTCTTTCTTTTTCTTTTTTAATTTTTCTTTTTTATTTTTGCCCCGATCCCTCATGCACAAGCGTTTGCAAAACGCTTCGTCTTCTCTTCGAGTAGAGAGAGAGAGAGAGAGAGAGAGAGAGAGAGAGAGAGCTACGTTCTGTCGAAACGAGAGAAAGATGACAGAGATTGATCAATGAACGAAGATTGCCGCAACCGCGCGATTATCTATCCATTCGAATTTCTTTGCACACTTGCAGTAACTAACGAACTATCTGTCGTCGGGCGCGTACACCTCGTACTCTTAATTACAATTGATGTTGTTCGTCTGGCGAACGAAAAGTTTGAAAATGTCACTCTGACAGGATGAGGCATCGACGAAGCTGTATCGGCGAGATGGATGAAGGACATGGACGCCGCGCTCGTGTTAGTTGAATCTCATTCACCGTGCAAACTCGATTCCCGCGGGATCGAGAAAAGACAGAGAGCTCGAGTTTCATTACAATATATTTCTATCTCGGACGAAGCTCGAGCGTGTGGGAGTGAATCTTTCAGGCTCGTGGCATAATATATGTAAATATCTTTCGCGTCCGATAGCGGTGTTACGTTGCGCGAAAGAAAGAAAGAGAGAAAAAAGAAGAAGGTACTGTACGCGAGGATGATAGACACATTACGTAACAATAAAACGGCTGAATATTATAAAGTGATGTAACGTAATGTCTCGCCGCGTTCAGATAAACGTTTACTCTGTAATTTATTGATATAAACTGCCAAGTGGATATATATATATATATATGTATTGCCAGTCATGAAAGACGTTCTTACTCGATCGCTCCACGATTGTAACGCGTTCAACGCGATTCGATTAACGCTAGAGTTAATTGAGATTAAAAACTGTAAAATTTCCAGAGAGATAGAGAAAGAGAGAGAGAGAGAGAGAGGGGCATCGAAGTCCAAGCAAAGCTTCTATTCTCTTGTCTTGCAAAAAATTATTCAAATCTTCAACGGTGGAACCACCGAGGACCAA